GATGGTTGCTAAGGCAGTTTGCAAGAGAAGAGCAGAAAAGGCCCAAACGAGAAGGCAAGATATCCTCATTCCTTTTATGGCAAAACCGCACTAGGCCTAAGCCTACTGGGCGACAGACATCCTCACAAGCTAGCACACTGGCCTAATGCTGGGGAGGGGTAGGAACTTCATCAGGAGTTGTGTGCGGTACAGGAGGTCGCCATGGTTTTCATCGGTGGTGACGTCACGTCCACGTGCAATAAGAGGCCACGTGGAGCTGCTTCTATAACTTGCCCAGCCAGGACTGCCAGGAAAGCATGCGGCTTCTTTTACCATTTTTGTTCTTCTGGGAGGTTTCTTCGAACTCTATTCCCATGCTAAGCCCTCATTCCAGGGAACTGCATCAACGCTGAATATACGAAGTCACAGAATTCTCTGAGAGATTCAGTAGAAGCTGTTCCGGGGCCTGTCATTCACCGAAAACCCACTTAACCTGTTCTCACCTAACTTGACATTCAGCTGAAAATTAGTTTAAATGACAAGATATAGATTAAATCAATACTACTTTTTTTTAGATAGTAATTATAATTATAAACATTTCATCGGCATTAAAATATTAACTTCATATATTCATTTCTGATGATATTGGACTTACCTTTGGCTAGCCATCTTGGATCACCCAAAGAAATTGTTAATACATGGCATACCTAAAGCTTGTTCACTCCCAGAATGCCTAGGCAGTATGAGATCTTTGTGAGGCATACCCACACAGCACAGGTATATTCCAAAGATATCCCAGAGATATCCCCTTGGAACAAGTGAGAAGTCCCAGGTAGTATTTGCGGGCGCCTTCCCTTCTGCAATGCAATCATTTCCTACCGCGCAGGACATCCCATTGCCTTCGAAGATGTCTCTATTTCATCTTATAAGAATACCTAATGTGAAGTTCTTAATTAATTAAAGAGTGACGATTTCGAGGGAGGAAAACTTTGTTCCTCAAAGATCCCAATGAAGAAGACTTATCTACAAGGGATAACATTTAGCATTCTCACACGAGAATTCCCTAGTGATAGTTTTCCTGATGTACAGTACGAAAATCCTCACTTATCCTCAGGATATATCAAGTAGATCAATTTGATAGAAAAGATTTGAGGTTGGAGATCAGGGCCCACGGGGGACATCTACCGTCGAAAGTATGCACTGACTGAAGGCGACAAAGAGCACTGAAGATGCCTAAACACATACCTAAGATGTCCCGAAGACATCCTTTAAGAGATGTCCGAAACTGTCCGTAAGAAGATCTCTTCAGGATATCCTATAAAGACCATGGGACAAGTCGTCCAGTTGGGAACATCCCTGGGATATCACCGTGCTGTGTGGGTATAATCCATATCAAAGCTCGTAGGAGCCCTGCCCTGTTTTTGCCTCAAACCCAAGATTACTAACCAATAGGCACTTCATTAACGTAGTTGGGAGAGATGACTTTAGGAAAGCGCATCCTTGTGACGTGATACAGGGGTGTCTCTTATCAACGGGATTGGGGAGTGGCTCTGTTGGTAGCTTCCTTTCCTAGGTTGGCTCCCACGACAGAGGACTCGGGTTCGAAATCAAACAAATCTGGCATTTACATCCGAGTGCAAGACCCGTCAAAGGGAAAGGGGAGACCCTTAAGCAATAGGTACTTCCGTCTCAAGAAGTAGGATATTAAATAATCCCTGTGGTAAAGGCCGAACTCTCATCATCATTCGGGAAGAACTGAGCGGTAATTCGGCTATTAGATGAGTCATAGAGATAGTATATTACATAAATGGAGTGGTTGGCGGCACTGGGGGAAGTGTGAGATTTTGAAGCCATGATACCCGGGTCAGTCGGAATTCGTGCAGGCACCGGAACAATGTCCCGATGACTCCGCGGGAGTCTCCGAAGTCAACGCATCGACTCTGATGAAGGCCGAGCAGGCGCAGTATATGAGAGGGGACGCGTCAAATCGTCACAAGCCTGCTCCAGCCTAGCGCGTCTAGCCTTCCACTCTAGGTGTATATGATCTGTATGAGATGAGCTTAGAGAATGGCGGAGAGAGTAAGGATTCCAGAGTGACAATGAATGCCTTGCTATTAATGAATGTTGCCTTGCCTTGCAAGTCTTCTTTAGGAAGAGCAAAATCCTATCTTGGAGGTGTAGAGCTTGACATGGTTTCTTTTCCAGAATAATCAGTTGTCAGACCTTAATTGCTTTTTTCGCTCAAAAATGTGTACTTTCGTGGACAGATAGTTTGGGTGAGGAAGCCGATACGTACTCGTACGCTACAGGGATTTTTCATAGGAAGGAGAAAGGTTTGACTTAGTTGACATGTCTACATGAGGATTTTCAGTTCTCTGTCATCCTGTGAAGACTTTTTTTCGTTCTCGAAATTGGACCTACGTGAGAGTGCTTTTTCAAGACATAATTTTATTTTTCTTTGCTCTACGTCTTTCTCTGACCCTGTATAACCTTTCAGCATTTTCTTCGTTCAGAAACCTCACCCTCATGAATGTCACGTTTTTCCACGAATTCGGCTTCCAGAATTCTTACATCATCCAGCCACGATGCAGTGAGTTCCATCAGGCTCCCACGAGTTATTCTTAAGATCCAGGAAGAACTTTCTAAATGGTGAATGGGATGGTATCCGAGATCAGACCCTTTGTCAGCAAGTTTGAAGGCCACATAACCTGCCTACTACACAGTGCAGGGCCTGGCTGCTTCTGCTGGAACAAGTGAAGCCTCCATCATATTGTTACGGAGGGAAAGTGGGAGACGGACGGCATGAGAGGACGAAAGAAGCCAAGGAGCGGCCGGGAATTGAACCCGGGCCTACTGATTGCCGGTCAGGTGTGCTACCTTTACACCGAACCCCGGACATTCAGTCGAGCCTCTCGATGCCATCCTCATCCGTCACACTACTCCCTCTCGTAATTAAGTCTGGTCCTCCAGACTTCACCTGTGACCGGGATTCCACCACTCTCTGGTCTCCTCGGAGGCGTAGGACGGTCCCACCGCTGCCACCAAATGTTACGGTACGACTTTTTCGTGTCGTAGTCCGTTGTGGGGTCCGGGTGGAAATAAGATCACAAGGGGATACGGTGACAACAAAACAGGTGTTTTTATTTCCCTCTACTCATCCACTATCAAGACCAGTTCTTCCTGATCCGAAAGCGCTGCGGAGTCCTGGTGTCTGGGGGCCGGCGTCGCTCGGGATCTCTTCCTCGGGGGGTCCCACTCGATTGTCGTCGATGCTCCTATGGTCTCCACACGAACTGCGGTAGAGAGGGGGATAAGCGGTTGCGTCCCACGGAGGATGTCTGCTCTTCTTTCCCGGGCTGCGGTCTAGCCGGGCCGTCACAGAGAATGTTCTGACCGTACTCTGCAGGGCTTAGGTCGAGTCTGTCTTTCAGGTACAGGATCTCAGCGGGAGGGAGCTGTTCGAGGCTTAGGTCGAGCCTGAATTTTGCTACCTCGCTGAGGGTTCCATTTTCCGTCTTTTTTTTTAATGTTTTCCAACCAACGAGACACGCTTTTTTTTATTGAAAGAATTGCAGAATGACAGTGACAAAAGAGGGGTGAAGGATATAAATGTGACCCAGCTGGCCGGACGGGCTTATCAGGTGTCCCACTCTTCCTCCATCCCTCTCATGAATGGCACGTCCTTGGTTGAGGAAGTCAGGTGGGCGTGTAATTGCGGGCTTTTCTTCTGTAGCTGAGAGATGTGGGTGAGATAAGGAGGTGTGTGGCCTAGGGTACACGAAGACCGACCCGTAGACCCTTGAGAGGACCGGCCTTTCTGGTATTTGCCAGAGCTGCCGGGTGGCCAGTCCGCCCCTGGCTGAGCTTTTGAGTAACTATGGGAATTATGTCGGTCCGATAATCTGTTAGCCTGCTGAATCAGCAGTTCATCACACTTTATTTCTTCTTTTTTTGTATCAACTTTGAGTTATCCTATTCCATCGCTGTATCAGTGCGATTGGAGTTGTCCTGACAGTGAGACCCATGCATGGACGCAGTACAAGCTCCTGCATCATTTTCCATTTTCCCCACAAGACCAAGGAAAGCAAAGGGACTGCAAACATTTTCGTGATTTTTTTCCTTGTCAGGATATCTTGCATGATAGTAGTCCTTTAAGAAGCAGCATGAGCAGATGTGTACTGTCTTCAGTATTGAGTGGACACCTGAAGCTTTCATCCATTCTCCTCTTCCCAAATTCTCTTGTAAGAAGGCATGAAATGCTAACTTCTCTATTCTGCTCTCATGATAGAAAACCCCGCAACCAGAAATCACAAAGGTTTTCCAATTCCTTTACCCATGATTCAATCGAATTTCCCAGTTACCTGCAGTTATTCCCACCAAATGAATGAAAAAAATCACCAGTGCAAGAAAATAGTGAGAAGCTAAGAGTGACTACAAGAGAATACCAATGGATGAGAAACAATAGGCAGTTTTTCAACACAAATAAAAAAGGATAGGGGAGCTGGGGAGACAGTAGAGGGCAAGGGAAGGCTGTGTGCATGGTCAGTGAGGAGGGAGAGGAAATGTCCTGCCTTGACTACTGGGGGAGAGAGCTGAGAGTCCCTGTAGCCCCATTTATGCACATCCTGGTAACATCACTCTAAACATATTGAGTACATATTGAGGATCTCCTTTAAGTCCAGGTTTGCTTAAACCTCCTTTTTTGGGAAGTGGAAAGGAGAGAAGAGAGCATGAGTTTGACAAATAAGACATTTGCCGCTTTTGTGGAATAGAGGGGTCCTTTCTGGGGTCAAACATACTATATGAGAATTTTTCCCAAGATTGTACTCAGGGGTAAGAGACAGTCATGGAATATGGGTGCAGCCATGCCCTACATCATTAGCAGTCTTCATCAATAGCATTGTTTGACAGAAAATGAGGGAAACATTGTCAAATATCCCATGATGCTATTATGATAAATAATGGATAAACGAAATAATCCTTATATGTGAACATACATGAAATGAAAGAAAAGAAGTTCTCTGACAAGCAACTGTATTATCATTGATCAATTTGGTCAGATCTCCCAAGTATTGCACTAGGTATTGCACTCAAATTGTGTAAATAGGTCAAGGCAAGGCAGTTTCAAGTCTCATCTTGAACTAAAGCCTAAGTATCACAACTAGGGTCCATGACTAAACAGTTTCACACTGAGAAAAAAACAAATTAACAATAAATAGAAACTAATTGCCCAGAAAATTAGCAATGAAAACATACAGCCTGAAATGAAATGGCAATATTTGGTAGCTTCCATAGCACAGGGAAACTACGACAGTCTTACCAATGGGGAATGCCAAGGCAAGCATCTGAAGTACAGGGATGCTTCAAACAGGTAAAACATGAATGATGCTAGACACTGATCATAACAATTCTGTTGCAGGAATGCAACCCTGACATACCAAGATGGCAGGTACCAAAAACTACCTGTTTAGCCAAAAAGAATCTAAACTGGCAAGCAGTAACTTAGTCATGACATTCTAATCTATGGGAATGAGACTCTACCAACAGGTCTGGGAGAAATAATGAACATGAAAAGTTTTAGAGACTTATTGATCAAGACCATTTTATCACATCACATGATCTCTACCTCCCTCTAAAGGATCATTGTTAAATGCCAATGACAGACTTGTAGTAGCATCATAACCTGTGCAGCATTAGAAGCAAAAAGTGAATCCTGAAATACCAATATCAACAGATGCAGCACAATAGAGCAATATTTGAACTACAATCCTGGGAGGCATGTCTGGAATCATCCCTGAACTACTGAAGCAAATCAAGTAAAATATATTCCAATGTAAGGTAAAACATCAAGCAGAAAATCTGCAAGTAAAACCAAAATTATCATGACAACAAGAAAACAGACCATATAAATTAACAATACAGAAACATGATATACAGCTTGTTGACAGGTGCTATAGTGACAGGATGAAACTGGGAATACATTGCATGATAACCCATTCTTTTAGAAAGAATAAATCTCAAGAAATAATCCTCCTGTGGTAACTACTAAAATGGCAGAGGTAAGAAACTGCAAATGTTTTCCACATGGAATGTGCTGGATGACTGACTAGTAAAACTTTCTCCCATAGACACCTTCCAAAACATATCTCCTACCTTCGCAATAAGTAGGAATATCACATGACAAAACTTTCAAACAGGACTGGATGAATAAAATATCCTCCTGGTGAGAGGCTCCCTAGAGGCAAGGAGAGATTGCAGCTGAAGAGGAACATTCCATGTCATTCATAAAGTTCTCATCAAGCCTTTCTAGGAGCAGTTCTCCCAGAAACCATAATATGGATCTCCACTAACCTGTACATGAAGGAAAAGCAGATGAATTCTCGTTCCATGCTTCTGCATTTAGGACTAACATGAACGTTGAAGCAACTAATGATGAGGCTTTCAAATCATAATCTATAATAATGGATAGTCCAGAAAATCCCTCAGACACTTAGAATTTGGTTTACCAGAACTTGGCTGATAAAAAGAGAATGGAGGAACCCAGCTCCAAGGTGCACAACCTTGGAAGTGAGTTGATCTAGTGAAAGGAGGTTGGAAGGCAAACATTCAGAGGTTCATCCACTCCTATTTCTAAACCATCATGTGCAATAAAATTCTGAGCAGTGCAGAGCAGGCAAAAAAATCTGGTCAAAATTTGAAAAAAAAAGTATACTGTAACTGAAGTTATGACTTCATACTCATTTCTATTTAAATAGGTGACCATCCTAAGATGAAGGTCTTTTCATTCTCTCTTCTCTCACTTGGTTCCCACAGACCTCACTAGTTAAATTTTGTCCAAGTGGCAAGTTTTTAAAATGATCAATTACTTCTTTTGAACTGTGTCAATGCTTAGACGGGTAGGCAGATGCACACATGCACAAGCATGTCCTCTTACATCCAGGGGCTTTCACAAAACACAAGGCTTGTGTGTGAAATTTGGGATGAGTTTGAATGAAACACAAGCCTTGTTTTTTTTTGCAAAAACCCTTGGATGTAAGTAGACATGCATGTGCAAGCAAGCATCTGCCTACTGCCCAAGCACATTGATGCAAAGGATGCATGACATGCAATGTGTGAAATGTCCTTAAGAATTGATTTACAGAGATGGGAGGGCACAAAAAGTTTTCAAATTTCTTATTCTTCACAAATGATTCTGAAGCCTTAATGTCTTGGCTCTAGGGATGTAACAATATTAGAATTTTCCGATATTCCGGTAATACGATATTTTGTATTCCGATATTATTGGAAAAAATATTGAATGAAGCTTTCAAACAAGAATCCAAGAAAAGAAAAAGAGGTCAAGGAAACAAGTATTTTTTTTCCTTCTGATTTATTGCTTCCTACAAACAATTCCATAACACTGGAGGGTGTAGTTTCACTTAGTACTCAAAGTTGAAGAATTTGAAGAAGAGTTCATTTACTGGGCTTTTTGAGAATTCCAGTCAACACTCATTAGGAATTTTTCTGAAATCCAGGAAGAAATCCAGTAGTTCAACAATTAAAAATTGCAAATAATCAAGGTAAATACAATAATAGATATTGGAACATTAATCTCTCAATAGAAAGAACTTCGATTGGTTCCTTCCTCGCACCATCTCGTGAAAGATTGGACAAAGGCATGTCTTCAGTCAGGGCATGGCAAAGGTCTAAGCAATCTTAGGCAGTTGAATTTTTTCCCATCGTGGACCGATTTAGATATGTAGGCCTAAGCATACTAATAAAAACTGATTCATTCCTCTTTCTTAGAGGAATTCTGTAAGCAAATTAGGTTAGTATCTGGACCAATGCCTGATGGCATACAACGACTTCTGCTCACCGTTCCGTTTGCGAGCCATCACCTTAGCTAAGCTCAACCTTTCTATGACTATGACTGCGATTCATCCTTTGGCACCGTACATCATCTTGGCGTGCTTTTCTAATACTTTTTTCATGAGAAGTAATGTAGGCCGAGACATAGATTTAACATTAGTCCAACAACTAAATGGAGTGCATTGGTTCTTGTTCGGCCTGCACACACCATCGTTGCTTTCCCCCTCAACCTCATACCTGCTACCCTCCCCTCGTACATTTCTGTCAAATCCCTTTCTTCTCATTCGGCAATTGTGCATGCTTGTCCAATTAGGCAAGAACCAACGTTTCAAAACGCCATTCAGCTTTTAATGATCAACAGTTTCTGCTTCATCCCCCAACCCTTGGAGGAGATGTGTTCGGCGTCTGGTCAATCAGTAAGATCATATCCAGCCGGTCATGACATAAAAGGGAGAGATGGAACATGGTCCTGNCCGAGGGCAGAAGCTTCGAGAACATTCCAGCATAAACAAATGCAAAGCACCGCCCATCATTCCTTTTTAAATATTTTATAAATAGTTTTAGAAAGTGTTGCAAGACTTTCTTTCTAACCCTATACTTTCGATGATCGGTCCTGGAGGGGTTCCTTTTCGTAATCTTTATGGACTGGATTGACAGACAGCCGAGGTGCTGAGTGTGTCATAATTGGGGATTGCAGCGTGGACAGATTACTCTTTGCAGATGATCTCGTCCTCCTCAGTTCTTCCAAAGGTGACCTCCAGCGCGCACTCGATAGGTTTGCAGCCATGTGCGAAGTGGCTGGGATGAGGATTAGCGTGGCCAAAACTGAGGTATTACTGCTCTCAAGACAGCCTGCTCAGTGCATTCTGCATGTTAGTGGAGTCTCACTGAAGCAGGTGGAGAAGTTTAAGTACCTCGGGGTCGCATTCACGAGTGATGGAAGGCAAGATGTAGAGCTGGACACCCGGATTGCTGCAGCTAGTGCCGTGAGGCGCGAACTGTGGCGGTCTGTGGTGATGAAGCGAGAGCTTGGGAAGAAGGCGAAGCTCTCTGTCTTCAAGTCAGTCTACGTCCCCATCCTTACCTATGGTCATGAATCTTGGGTAATGACCGAAAGAGTGCGATCGCGAGTACAAGCTCCAGAGATGAGATTCCTGAGGGGTGTTGAAGGTGTCACGCTACTCGACAGAGTTCGTAGCACAACCATAAGGGGATCTCTACATGTCGAGCAGCCACCTCTCTGGATTGAGAGATCGCAGTTGCGTTTGTACGGGCACCTAATCCAGATGCCACAGGAAAGGATTCCCAGACAACTTCTGTTTGCCAAGCCTGGTGGGAAGAGACCAGTGGGACGACCGAGGACAAGGTGGCTAGACTACATAGAAAACCTCGGATCTTCTCGCTTGGATCTACCCACCCAACAACTACGCCTGGTGGCGGAAGATCGTCCCCAGTGGAAGTCCGCCTTAGAACGTCTGCCCCCACGACCCTAACGGACAGTGGGACAAGAAAATGGATGGATGGATGGGAAAGATAATTTGGAATCTCTCATTTTACTAATGGCGTCCCCTTGTGGAACGTGCCTGAGTTGTGGTGTGGATATGAGTATTTTCCCGACCTCTTCCTCGGCACGCATCTCCGACACAAAGGAGATATTGCTCATCTGATATGTTCAACAAAGAGAGTGATGTGCTTGAGGCGGGACTTTCACATCTTATACGCTTAGATCATAATAATGAAATTCCTGAATGAGGAGTTGTAGTACTCTCCATTGGAATAATCGATTGCCTCTGACACCTTGATTGATCTGCCCCTGTCAAGGGAGCAGCTCTTTGCTTGGGACGAACGCAACCGTTTTTACGCTGTTTCGGGTAGGGATGTAACGCTATTATAATTTTCCGATATTCCGATAATACGATATTTTGTATTCCGATATCTGATAACCGATATCGATATCCGATATTATTGGAAAAAAATATTGAATGAAGCTTTCAAACAAGAACCCAAGAAAAGAAAAAGAGGTCAAGGAAACAAGTTTTTTTTTCCCTTCTGATTTATTGCTTCCTATACACAATTCCATAACACTGGAGGGTGTAGTTTCACTTAGTACTTAGTTGAAGAATTTTGAAGAAGAGTTCATTTACTGGGCTTTTTGAGCATTCCGGTCAACACTCATTAGGAATTTTTCTGAAATCCAGGAAGAAATCCAGTAGTTCAACAATTAAAAATTGCAAATAATCAAGGTAAATACAATAATAGATATTGGAACATTAATCTCTCAATAGAAAGAACTTCGATTGGTTCCTTCCTCACATCATCTCGTGAAAGATTGGACAAAGGCATGTCTTCAGTCAGGGCATGGCAAAGGTCTAAGCAATCTTAGGCAGTTGAATTTTTTCCCATCGTGGACCGATTTAGATATGTAGGCCTAAGCATATTAATAAAAACTGATTCATTCCTCTTTCTTAGAGGAATTCTGTAAGCAAATTAGGTTAGTATCTGGACCAATGCCCGATGGCATACAACGACTTCTGCTCACCGTTCCGTTTGCGTGCCATCACCTTAGCTAAGCTCAACCTTTCTATGACTATGAATGCGATTCATCCTTTGGCACCGTACATCATCTTGGCGTGCTTTTCTAATACTTTTTTCATGAGAAGTAATGTAGGCCGAGACATAGGTTTAACGTTAGTCCAACAACTAAATGGAGTGCATTGGTTCTTGTTCGGCCTACACACACCATCGTTGCTTTCCCCCTCAACCTCATACCCGCTACCCTCCCCTCGTACATTTCTGTCAAATCCCTTTCTTCTCATTCGGCAATTGTGCATGCTTGTCCAATTAGGTAAGAACCAACGTTTCGAAACGCCATTCAGCTTTTAATGATCAACAGTTTCTGCTTCATCCCTCAACCCTTGGAGGAGACGTGTTCGGCGTCTGGTCAACCAGTAAGATCATATCCAGCCGGTCATGACGTAAAAGGGAGAGATGGAACATGGTCCTGAAGCCCCCAATGCTTGCATTGATGAACGATTTGTGCGTGTATCAGCAGTTTGGCGGCATTTTCATCAAGGTTTTTTTTTTTTTCCTGCCAAGTCAAACCTTGACTTAACTTTTGCTTCTTTTTTCATTGTTACTGGCTCCATCTCAAGTGCACAACTTGTGGAAAACGTATTTCTTCCTGTTTATATAATTGCTTAATCATCATGCAGGCTTAAAGAGAGAAAAAAAAATCCTGATCCTGAAAGCTTCAAGGTTTTCCCAGGAGCGAAGATTATGCTGGCCTTTCCTAGCCACTCTTGGTATATACATGTGAGTGCCACGTCAATCGCTCAGGACGCCACACTTTCATTCTTCTAGTCAATCATGATAGGAAGAATCACAGGATTAAGGGAAGAGAGTAATAGATGCATCGCGTTTATCCTGGCAATCTCAGAACCCTGATGCTGGAAAAGCGAAGGCCGTGTGTCGAAGGGATGTTCGTGATGTTCACAAGACGAACAAATACCTAGGTACATCTTACTTCAGAGGCTTACATGCGGATCATTTAAGTGGAGCAGAATCCCATTGCTATTATGGCTGTCATGGTGCCTGCTTCTGTAGGCGTAGTACTGACTTTGAATTCCGTTTAAATTTAGTCTCTCTCCCTCCAAAGAGGTGTCAAATATCATTAGACTCCCTTCAGCGAGAATGGTGTAGAGTACTGATATATGACAACTGGATTCAGGGAAGCGTTCACGGCGCCTAATGTTATTGAGGTAGGCCTGTGACTACATAAGCAAAAATACTGACAGAAACATCACTGGATGATGGTGTCAGCGGTTACGTTGCATTTATATTGAGTGAAGCAGACGTTCATCATGTACTTGGATATCAAATATTGACAAAGCAAAATATCGGAATGCTGATATTTATCTGATTAGTAAATATCGACCCGATAACCGATACCGATATAATATCGTTACATCCCTACTTGGCTCCTTGTCTTTGGGTGGTGTGATCCTTCATGACTCATAGGTTCAAATGCACAAACCTTATTTAGGGTAGATAAAAGGGTCCTTTAGCTAAAGAGCTCTTCTCCCCTCATAGGAGTCCATGTATTCTTAATGGACTGCAAATTAAGGGAGGTTTCAGCACTTGGGCCTTACTGTTTTGTACCCTAAGGGTTTTTTATATCTACTTCAAAGTCAAATTCAGGATCCAGCAAGTTCTTCCTCTATGGTTTTTGGTTTCAATGAATATCTTGCAATTCAGAAGCAATTAAATCCCTGAAATATAGATTCATAAACTGAAAACAAAGGGTTTGAAAGAATTCACTCACCTGCAATGACTTCCAATTCAACTCAACTCTCCAATTGGTGCATTCTCAAGCCACAAATCATGCAGGAAGTGATAGAGCTGATCTGACACTCCAACCTGAATATTCAAACATAATGCCCAGAAAGTGCCAGTGACAAGATTCCAGACAATTTAGTCTGGAACTTCAGAAAATATGAAGGAGCACATGAAAGAGCTAACCTTGTAAGGCGTGGGATTGAGGTTACGTTTGTGATCTTGCCTTAGGGTATTCAAGGACGCCTGTACACCTTCCCTCACCTCTTTCAGGTCTTTCAACCTCTCCAGCAACTTCCCATCCTTCCAGAAGCACTATAAAATAAATAGAATCCAAAAAAACTTTTTGGCACATTGATTACAAAACTGTTGAGTCCACTTGGGGATGTGGGAAGTGGTAAAAAAAAAAAACCATCCAAATCCTTTAGATGAATACTATAATTCTATTAAGGTTGATTCCCAAAAACTGATAGGTATGAGAACACATTTTTCTTCACGGGCAATTACTTGGCATATCTCAATGATTCTGGACAGGTTTTTGAGTCAATTCTTGTGACCTTTCTCTGTCATGCAGCACTGGAAGAGCATTTTTTTTTTCCATGTTTATTCAGAGAAACCAGCATCTCAGAATACCATAGCCATGGGAGGGGTAATGTGTATTGAGAACTAGACATCAATGGTGACAACAGTTTCACCACAAACCTTGTAGAGTGGGACGACAGAGGCTGGAATGACATATGCACGCTTTGACTCATGATATGGGTGTCGACATAAGACACGATCTCCTGGCTGTGGAGGTGGCTCATCGGGCCGCATAAGAAGATCAATCAAAGCATGACCTGCAACCATACAGAAGCCAAAAACTAAACTCAACTGAATCAATACCAATAAGACTGAAGCATTCCCACAGTTTCATCAACTGAAAGAACTCCTGCTGTCAATAGTTATGCTATAAGAGAGAGTTTGGGTGAACTAAAAGACTAGTTACTTTGAGCCCAATTTTTAGACAAGCCTCCTCTTCATGCTTACTGTCTGAGGATACCCATGCAGTTGCCTCTATTCGAGGCTATCAGGCAAACCTACAGCAGCAGAATTTCCCCTGTGCTCATTGTAATCCCTCATAAACAGACTAAGTACTGTAGCCCAGAAAAAATAAAAAAATAAAACAAATATTAGTGATATTGACATTTGCTGCATATTTGCTGGAGAAAATTTCTTTACTTTTTTAAATATTCAATGAATTCTTGTTACCAGCATTTTCACAAAGCCCTATTGGCAATAAAAGTTTTTACTGGAAAACTGACCATGATGTCTTACCTAGCTACAGTAAATATGAATGATATTGACACATGTCAATAAAGTAATGAGGAGACATTGAAACTGGAAAGCATGACTGATAGGATTGAGAAGGCAGGATTATAGAGGGCACCTGACTGAGGCTGGGTTTCTTGTGTTGATTTTTTGTACTATGTATGCTACTATTTTTCAAATTCTCTGGCACTTGCACAGCAAAAAAAATTCAACATGAAAATGGTCATATTTTCCTGCTCCTTGCAAAAGGTATGAACATTTTCCACATGCAACATTTTTATGGGTACCAGCATTGCAGACTTTGGCTTTTTCTCTTCATGCATAACCTATGCCAGTAGAGCAGAGTCCCACAAAGATGGCTCTCCATAGATATGGATAAGATTCCAACTTTCTTTAACTTTCCTTCCATTTTTCCATTTATCTGACAAAAACATCTATCAATGAGCAAATTTTCAAGTACTTTCTTCTACACTTAAAATACCCAGAGAAATGACTATGTGGTAGACCCTGTCAAGCCTCACAATAGATAAGAAACAATTATCTTTCCTTTCTATGCTTTTAAAAAATACCTACAGCCATTTGAATGGCAGACTGTGAATAAAAATATTTGTACCATCCTTGGAGTAGAGACGATATACACTCTTCTTGCCAGGCATTGTGATCTTCTCAACATCCTGACTGAGTTTGATTCGTGGTGTACCATTCACTTCCACCAGTTTGAACACACATCCCAATGCAGGCTGTCTTTGACAGGTTACTAAAAAACAAAGAATATGTCAGAATTTTCACACCATCTCAAACCTACTCAACTCTGTGATGTATCATCATGATTACCTAGATGCGTTCCTATGCCATAGCAATCAATGCGATGTCCTTGCTCATTGAGACTCAATATTGTTTCTTCATTGATGTCATTGGAAGCAACTATCATCAGATTCTCAAACCATGGAACATTGTACCTGCAAGAGAAGACTGTTTTTAGATGCACATTCAGATTTTTTTTAATATTAAAATAAGAGAAATCTCACTCTTTTGCGATTTTGATGAAGAGGTCCCTAGCGACAATTGACAGGTATGCCAGGTCTCCACTGTCAATTCTCACTCCAATGGCCTGATATCCCAAGTCATTCAAGGCCAAAGCCACACAACAGAAGTTTAGCAAGCCACTCCTGTCAAATCATCACAGGTAATCAACTTTTGACTGCTTTCAAGAATTTAAAACTGAAAGGTTGCATTAACAGCATGCATACCTACACTTCCTTGCTCAAAATCTTGATCCTGTTTCATGCAATGAGCATTCATAATTACTTATTTTTGCTTAGCAGCATTATCACAGTCCATATTACATTAATTAATTCAATTTTGACCTATTTACTTTACAGAAGCAATATCAGCTCTTCATAAGTAGTATATTTACATTACAGAAGCTGTCATTATCTCTTCATTGGCAGTCAGTTTTCTCAGGGTGTATTGAATCCCACACTTAATCTACAAGTAACCTTCAAAGACAAAATTTCAGGCTCCTCCATCTCTCTTTCCCTTTCATTTGCCTACCAGCAAGGTCCCAAACCCTTGTCTCAGTTGAATTGTCAGTACCAATTATGATTCTTATATTCTCTCTCAACCAGATCAATACTGCATCCACAGCTATTCACTGTAAAAAAAAAAAGAAGCATGCAATGAGAACTACATAAATTGCATGCTGAAGAACAACTATTAGGCTATAGGGTCTCTCATAGCATCAATAATAAAAAAATCTATACATTCTAGAGACAATATGATTCAGAACTTTATATCCATGTGAGAGCAAGAGAGACCTGAGAAGACTTCAGGATGCAATCACAATGCATGAGCAGAAGAAGCAGGATATTCAAATCAACATAAGCAGAGACTGCAAGGGTTTGTGACCTGCATGGCATGCCATATCCAATATTACAAACCACTCTGGTCTACCTCCAGCTTGAATATGATGTTTGATTCCATGGGCCATTCAATTGCTCTCCTCAGAATATCTACCAGTCAGTCACATGCATACTTTGTTAATGCATTGACCATGTCAACATGTATGCCAAACAGCAGGAATTTCCATAAGTAACATGCTCAGGGCTACCCTTACATTTTCACAATGTCCAATGGTAATAGGAAAAACTGGATTTTTCTTTTGTACAGTTAAAACGGCCCTTGGTCTGGATAGATAATGCTTAGCAAGACTCTGATGGCCAATGTGTCAAGCACACTGGAATGTAAAGGTGAGGGCAAAGGAGACTGCTAGGAAAATAATTTTTTCTAGCAGAGTGAAGTGATTGATAGACTCTCATTTGCTATTTTGATCAAGAGAAGTTCTTCAGAGAGGTCTCTATTATGTTACTGAACTTAATTTCTAAGGGGCAGCTGCCACAATCCACTACTGTTCTTGGAAAAAAGTACACTTTCAAAGAAATGCTCTTATATGATGACAGCAAAGCTTTGGGGGGGTCCTAACAAGTTCTGTTAGCATGTATAAACTAACAATCAGTTAGCAATCCTAGAATCCTTACTAGCAAGTAAAATTCTACTTATATACAATTTTAGCAGTAGAAATAGGAATGCATGTGGCTGCTCATTTTAGGACTCGTTCTGCCATTGTTTTGTAGAATGCAAATGGATATTTAAAAAAGTTTATCTGAATATTTTCAGGCCGCTTGATGCTTGAACTGAATTTTAATCAGCTCACTGATTTGACAGAGGAAACATGTAATTCCAAAGAGACACAGGGATAATTTAAACTTAATAAAATAGCATAAGGAGAGTTTTGTAGCCACCATATTACCTGACTTAGCTTAATCTCTCTTCAAATATGTAATTGAATATCTTACAGGGATTGACAATGACAAATGCATTGCTCAACTCATGTAGGATAAATAAGATGATACATGTTGCAGTTATTTACACTTGATCATAAAAAATACTTGAAATCATGATTAAAACTATAATCAATCACTTCATGCAACTGACCTGATAGCCCTATTAATTTCAACTATTTCGAAAACTACTTGTCATAGGAAACTCTAATTTGGATTGCAAAGTTTACTCATGAATACCTTTGAGACAAAAGGCATTTAAAAATCTGACATGGCAGAATCAAAACCCATTGAGTGAATTGAGCTGGAATGGCTAGAGAACAAACATTCCCCTCAAGGACCATATCAATTGTTTCTGACAAAGTCTAGGATTATGATGTCAGCTTGATGAAACTGAAACTGGTGCATGATGATGAAGAAAGCAACTGTGCATACAGGGTGTTCTGAAAGAAACTACCAGAACTCAATGTCTGTCAGTGTATAGCTCCTGATAAAATTCACATACAATGATGCTTCTTTGTGTATTTTACAGCAAAAAGAAAGTGATTTTCTAAAGGATGACTGGAAGATCTCTTCTAAGAATTGAATAATGAGTACAAATAGTGAAATGGCATGCTAAGTAAGAAAATGTAAAAGAAGTGTAGCAGCAGTTTGAGAAAACCTTTGAGTGTTGCACCCCAGAATGGAAAGCCATTGCAGCTCTTGTTTTCATGCTTGGGTATCAAGCATGAAAACAAGAGCTTGTTCAAGTCCTTGATGCTAGAAAAGTGACAGACCAAGAACTGCTCCCATGGAGGAACAAGCCAAGACCATTTCAGAGACACTCAAACAAATACCAAAAAACATATATTTTGTTTCCATAGCAAGAGCTGGATGCATTGTGTTTGCGTAACCATTACTTCATTGGACCAAATGACTTGATTGAGTGGGTGACACTTTCCAACATTACGAACACTTCACAAAATTTGATCTTCCCTGCCTGTGTCTCCATCTGAGAAGACATGTATCAGCATAAATGGTCTCTCAAAATGGGCAAAACTATAGACTGAAACACATCCAGCTCCTGTGACAGCCATGAATTGAATTTTTTTAGGTCTTCTTCTGAGTGTCTCTAAAATGTCCTCAGCTTGTTCCTCTATGCAAGCAATTCTTAGTCTGTCACTTTTTATAGCATCAAAAACTTCACCAATGGTATCAAGCATGAAAACAAAAGCTGCAATGGCTTTCCATTCTGAGGTGTGATGCTCAACGGTTTTCTCAGACTGCCACTGCACATCTTTAACATTTTTCTACTTAGCATGCCATTTCATTATTTGTACCCTTTTTTCAATGTTCAGTCGAGATCTTGCAGCCACCCTTTGGAAAATCACTTTCTTTTTACCCAAGAATACACAAGCAAAGAAGCATCATTGTATATGAATTTCACCATGAGCTATACAATGACAAACAGTGGGTAGTTTCATTTGGAACACCCCATACAGTTCCACAGCCAAATGCACACCCATTTCCTACAGATAATACCAACAATGTAGAGAGCTAATACCTCTCATGCAAGAAAGCCATGTTACTGAAGATGCTACCCTAGTCTCCTGCAAGCCCTATTATACAGAGGGTTGCTTGATTACCATGATGATGAAACTAACAAGATCTTCAGGGGATAACTATTATTTTCTCAGCCATTTATCATGTTCAATTTGGTGACTCAGAAATTTTGAAAATAGCCCAACATATCACAGTTTTCATCTGCAAAGGCTTCTCCTCAATACATCAAGGGTATCTTTTCCCCCTCTTCCATTGCAGTTTTTCCTGAGTCTATTCACCCTCACCCATTTGTCTGAAAGAAAGCACCCCATTTGTCTGCCTACTTCCCAAGGCATCTCTTGAAAAGGCCAAATCCACAAAAATCTGAAGAACAGACAGGGATGTTTGGAAAGTTCTGAGTGGATGCTGAAGTGTGGCTGGAGGCTTTGCTTTGAGGCACCTCAAAGAGAGTGGCAGCATTTCATGAACCCTGGGAACATCCTAATTGTAAAGAAGCACTGAAACTTAATCTCGATAAAATTCAGAGCTAACTTTCACTTTTGGGAACACTTTTCAGTCATTTTATGGTTATAACTAGAGATGCACCGATACCAATCCAAAGTGTCAGTATCGGCCGATACCTAAATGGCCAATCCAATCCGATTCTCCCTTGACGCACGCCATATTTGATGCGCAGCGTGTACATTTTGGGACCGTCTCAAGAAAAAGCCCCCACTCATAATGGCATATGGTTCCTTAAGTCTGTCATAGTTCTTGTTAATCTCCAACTGATGGACAATGAGTTTGGGCATGGTTAAAGCAGAATGCAAGAGATTTGAAAAGGGCATTGTACAAATAGAATGGGCCAGAGTCGTTCACGTACGCATTCATTCCTTCACTTTCCCCCATTCAGTCCCATCTCCTGCCTTCCTGCGCTGATTGGTTTGCACACACTTTGTGCTCACATCCATCCCACCTCCGGCTCTCCCCTCGAGCACCGATCCCGGTTGTAGTTGCATCAACTCCTTAATCCCTTAAGGACATGAGACGTAGTTCCTACTCCTACTCCTCTTTGCACCGATTGTCCTTTGTTCATAGTACCTGTGTCTGACATATTCTTGGCTGGCCCAGTGAATGGTGGGGGAAGTTTTGGCCTATACTGAAGAAGTTAATTATTGGCCGACGTAAATGTCTCCAGAAATAAATAAATGATAGGAATTTTGAATGTTGGGTCATTAGTGTCTGAGGATTTTTTATTTCTTCCCTTCCATGCCAAAGGTAGCATAAGGCCTACAAAGGTCTGGTCCTGTATTGTGGTTTCACTTCTGACAGCCACTGGGAGCTGTCTGTATCAGTATCGGCTAATCCTGGATCGGTGCATCCCTAGTTATAACAATGACCAGGAAACATTTGAAAAAGCTTCACTGCTTTCACAGTACCACTTTGACTTTTGGACATTGGTTTTGTGCATTTAGAGGTGGCAAGGAAAGAGTTTGTGGTCTCTACCATTGAATCTCTTCCTTAGCCCCAAATATCTATTGACAATGCCATTGATGGTTCCCATGGACACTCCCACTTTCTGACCATGAACTTTTGGGCTGTTGGATTCTCTTGGGCAGTCATCTGACTTTTTTTGGCCGATGATCTTGGTATACTTTGAAAGGGGGGGAAAAATGTTAGGTATTTTACTCATCTCCTCAACCACAGTTTGAGTTTTCTGAACATTATAAAAAAAAACTTTGTGGATCCCTTTCAATGAAACACTGAAGCTTTTCTTGCAATGCTTTACAATCACAAAACATACATATTTAGTGCAGGAAAGACCAGTGATATAGACATTCTCACAAATACTGATTTTTGAGGGCATTCTGACTTGCCAGCTTGAAATGACTAACTCACTAGAAACACAAGACCTGCATTCAAGCTGTAAGCCATGAAACATAGAAAATTTGCAACAATGGTAGGTGCAGTACTGTGTTAAATTAGTTACCTAATATACCATATAATTTGTTAACCAAACAACCCTCCTCAAGAGTCATGTCTTCTATTTCATAACTTGTAAAGTACCAAGCCAGCACACTTCAGCTGAGGAGGTTATGTGGATATATCAGCACAGTTGCCCTTAATCCTATTTTTTCACATGATCTTCAATCAAGGATATTCAATTTTCCAGTATAATGTCAAAGAGTCTGCATTCCTGATTGATAAAATTCCTCCCTCTGTCAAGGAAGGCACTGACATGCTGAACATTGCACAGCCAGGCCATTTGCAAACCAGGTTCCTTTGCAACAGTAGTGAAGAAACACCTGAAACAAACCAGGTTTGCAAATGACCTGGGTATGCATTGTGCTGTATATCAGTGCCTTCCTTGACAAAGGGAGGAATTTTACCAATGTAGAACACAAGCTCTTCAACATCCCTCAGAAAGTGCATGAACCTGGGCAGAAATGAAGTAAAATAGGAATAAGTGCAACATATACTGATACATATGGCATCATGTAACTGAATCCTTAAGGTTTTAAAATTTTCAGGTAATTAAAAACATAACATGACTTCAGTATTTCCTTCTTAGCTGCCTTAATGCTTGTGTTATGTATCAAGTTCAATCAGAACAGTCAAAAAGAACATTTCTTCATCTGACTAAGCATTATTGGGCTACGTCTATTTTAACTCCACAACGAAAACTTGAGCCCCCTGCAGCGAGGGAATAGTGACATTTAAACTTTGGAAAAGGTCACGATTCCTTTTCCTTCTTCACAAAGGAAGTGGTAGGAAAGTTTCCTGGAAGACCGTCTGAGGCAATCAACCAGTCACAAAAGATCCTTCAGTCTTCCAGGGAGAGCAATCAAACAGGCCCCACATTTCAATAGAAGGATTAGTCTAATGATCAAGAGAAAAGGGAGTTGAGGAGACAAGAGAGGTCACTGTGGTGCAAGGAAACAGAACCTACAGTAGAGAGGGAGGAAGAATGAAAAGAATGATTGTCTTACCGCCCGTTACTAGTCTTGCTAGGGGGGCGATGAACCCCAAATATACTGATCAGTGGGGAACCAGAAAGAGAAATTCCAACACTTCAGACATTCTAGTTTTCACTTCTTCCTTATAGAAGCAGCAGGATCATCAGATATATGCCATTATAATCTACTATCAATAAATCTTTAGTGCCACTCTCTCCAATTCATTGTACAAAACATAATCATAAGAAAATGGTAACCTGTTTCAATGTACTTCAACTTACATTACCAAATTAATATAAACTTTTTGCTATCACCATCAATAAAGAGATATCTCACCTTTGGACATCATAGGTGTCCACCAGGACACAGAAGCAAGATGGGAATGCCAAAGCATATGAAATGAAAGCTGCCAGTTCTCCATTGTTGGCTTCATCTTCAAGGATGTCCATAACTGGGGAAAGTTTCTTGCGCCACTCCAGGCAGAGGTTCACAAAATCTATTGCTTCTGTCCCCTCTTCATTGTTCATCCGCAAAGTCTTTAAAAAAAAAAGCACATATATACAGTAACAACATAGTATAATTTATGAATTCAGGAACCCTTATAAGATTCTAAGATTTTAAGGTAAAAGCTGCATGCAAGGAGGCATGATTTTTAGAGTTCTGTTGTAATTAGCAGTGAAACTTGAATTTTGGCTACGAAGTTCATCATGTGCAGTGATGCAACCCCTTGATTTCCTACAAGTTTTGGTTGATCTCATGTGGTGAGAGAGAAATGGAATTCATGCATGCACCAACTATGGTGTGGATTGAGACCACTGTGCTAAATCACATCCAACTTACCTATCAGAATGTATGAGAACTCTGCTCTGTTTGAACTAGGGCACTGTGGTATACCAGTATTTTCATCATATATTCAGTTGTCATAATTATACTGACCCCTTCTACATTTTTCAATATTATCACCACAATATGAAAACAACAGAATGCTGCCAATATACATATTGCCACTATGGTATGGAAACCATAGAACACTGCTTATAATCAGGGCTGTGCCAATTATCGTGATATCATTCGATAGATGTACTATCAGTGATATGTATGCATATTGTGATAAATTTTAAAAAATAAGTAATCTCCTGCTGTCACAAGAGAAGGAAAATAGAGCACACGAACTGCACCATTTGTGTCTATTTTAAAAGAACAAAGGGTAAGGATAATGAAGGGATTGGCTGTCAGCCTTGACAAAACTAATAGGATGAGGGAGGGAGGTATAGGATAGTCCTTGGACTGCAATCCTCCCTCATTGCATTCTTTTCCTGGAAAAAAAGCATATTGCATGTCAATATCTTCTTTGCTTTGAACCACGATTTATCAGATACTATGATGTGATATATTCGAGTGCCTTCATTCTAACTTGTTGGAATCCATTACCAAAATAAATTGATTTTGTCCTGAAATAAATATGTCTTCTTACAACCCCCCCCCAATTGAACTACGATATTTTGATATCGCGCAACATATGGGCCAGTGATATCGATACATAAAAAATCCATATCGCCCAGCCCTACTTATAATCATTCTGTTGCCATGGCACTATACCAAAACCCATTTATAAAAAGAAGTTACCTCATAAACTATCCTTCCCATCTCTATTCAAAGCAATACCCTTTGCTGGTTAAATCTGAAGCCCTCCAGGAAGTCACAGGAGTGCATTTTATCTGGATGCATAGACCAAGATCCATTCAAGGGTTTGACTTGATCCCTGACCTTTCCTTTGATTCATACATGTTGGTGTGCCTGAGCACTCAATACCTTCAACATACAGGGTGGGGCAGGTAAATCGGGAAAAACTATAATGAAAATTAAGAAGACATGTTTTGCAAGCAAAAATCAATATATTGAAATGAAAATTGGCACAGAAGCAGTTCAAATGATACAGTTTCAAATTATTCAATGTAGTCTCCATTGTTGGCGACGACAGACTCGAGACGAGTGCGGAAGGAAGCACAGGCCTTGGCGACGATGGCCTTATCCATTTGGGTCATCACCTTGTAAAATGCATCCTTGACTGACTGGATGGTGTTGTGGGGGGCTTTATTAACATCTCTCTCAACAACGCCCCACACATAGTAC